CCTGTGAACGGGGGGAAATGTGAGGGTCAGCTTTTGCTGGTGCTCCGGAGAGGAGCTGGAAGCCTGTTTGTGCCTTCCCACTGCCCTGAGCCGTGCAGCTGGCAGGAGGGGCAAGCTTCAGGCATGGGTCCTGTGAGAGCTCTGCTGCTTTGCTTCCAGGCCGTTAGGAATAATTTCCTCTGTCCTGAAAGGATCCTGCCAAATCTGAAGTTAAAAGGAAGTTTTTGTATGGAAATGAGGTGCTTGTGTATCTGCATGTGAAATTACCCTTAAAATGGAGAGGCTGACGTTGCTCTCCAGGTGCTCACTTCTCATCAGAGCTGCGCAGAGACCTGCTGCTCTGTCCACAGGAGCAGGATGCTTTTGCAGAGGGCTGGTGCCACCTCCTGCCCCTCTGCGGCTCCCGAGCAGGGCAGCGGGTGCTCGCTGGGGCACTTGCCTCCGGGTAAGGGTTTGCAGGGAGTGGCAGTGCCAGCCCCGGCTGCGCAGCCTTGGTTTGTGTCAGGCCCCAGGGCTCTGCTTGTCTTCCCCATCGTGGCTGCATCCTCCTGCCCTCGGTACCCACCCTGTCCTGGGTGCTGGAGCTGGGGTCTCCGGGCCGGGCCAGCCGGGAGGTGGCTGGTGGTTTCCCCAAAAGCTGCTCACTAACAGGGCTTGAGGTCATTAGCTAAACCTGTGTGCGCCAGTGCCATCGTGTGCTGTGTGAGCGTCACAGGGGCAGCACCCTCCCGCTGTCCCCCCAAACTCTCCTCCCTGCTGACTCTCCCCAGCCGTGCCCAAGGGCTGTGGCCACGTCCTCGAATAACTCTACTGGCCCCTCCAAAAAGGAGAGCTAAACCTTTTCTGGGAAAACCATGCTAAGTGGCTGACAAACAGGTATTTTTCCCTTGTCTCCCTTCCTTGCTGGGCCTGCAGGGTCAGGATTGCTGGCAGCTGGGGCGCTTGCAGGCTTGCCACAGGCAGGGAGCTATTACTGATGCCCGGAGCGGGATCCCCCCGCTGGCGACACCTTCTCTGGGGCTGGGCAGAGCGACCTTCCCTGAAGGACGTCCTCTCTCCTCTGGCTCTGCTGCATCCAGCTAATAGCTGGGAGCCTTGGCTCGGCGTCCAGGCTGCCCTGCTTGGTCTTTCACCTCCTGAGTGCTCGCTGCCGGCTGTTCCTGCTG